AATTGACATTAAAATGTTTGCACACGTGTTTCTAATCTCTATATATCTGATTATTACTAGTGACAGTCGGTTACTTTCTGAGCTCCTTAGCATCTGAGCATGGATGTAAAGTCATCAGGTAGATTTCAGTGGTAATTTTTTTCACCTCTACTAATTAACATGGAGCAAATTTTTATGCTTCTTCCTCAAATATAACTCATTTTTTTATTTATTGATTTTTTGTGTGTACATTTCATATAGAACATCCCAAACAATCTTATTCAGCTGTATACCCACATGCCAAATGGTTCCCTCCCATAGGCCCACCCCCACTGGAGCCCATGTACTCTGTCATCCCTGTTACTGTCCACTGTGTTGTTAGTGCCCCAGCTGTTCCCCAGTGCTAGTCCATCCGCTGAGTCTAGTCAACCTATCTAGAGTTCCTTGTTTTAGGAAGATCAGTGCTTCCTCATCTAGCAGCAATCAGTTACCAATATTCCTTTAGATAAGATTGGAGTATGCTGTTCATTTTCTGTTTATGCTGTTCTATGCTGGGTTACTGGCAGACATATTTTTTTTTTAAATGGCCATGTTTTGTACTTAAAAGACTTCCCTACAACTTTTCTCTATCCAGTCGTGTAGACTTTTTCTCTTGAGGTCTCTTTGTCTTTGTTGGTAAAACATAAAGACATTTGTACTCCATCCTCACAAAGTACCCTTCCTTCTCCAGAGCACTAAGTGGCCTCATACTTAAGGCATTGCGATTGAAGATGGTAAGAGTAGTTCTGACATATAAGTGGCATGATTGGACTACATGAACACTCATAACCCACTGTTCTAAACCCAAAAGAGAGTCAGAATTGATTATTAATGACCCAGCTTCCTTAAATCGGCTCAGGTGACAAATGGATGAATCACACTCTGTCATTTTTTTTTTTTTTATGTGTATGAGCGTATTGCCTGCCTGTATGTAAGTGCACCTGTGTCCTGCAGTGCCCATGGAGGACAGAAGAGGGCATTGGATCCCCTGGAACTGGAGTTATCGGCAGTTGTTAGCAGCCTTGTGGGTGCTAGGATTCAAACCCTGGTCTTCTACAAGAGCAGCCAGTGCTCTTAACTGCTGAGCCATCTCTCCAGCCCATGAATCATACTATATATACATACATATATATATTTGTCTTTTTGAGATGATCTCCTTGTAGCCCCAGCTGTCCTGGAACTCACTATGTAGACCAGGCTGTCCTCAAACTCACAAAGATCCACCTGCCTCTGCCTCCCTGGGATTAAAGGCGTGTGCCGCCATACCGGGCCATACTATATTTTTTAAAACATTTTGTTCTAAGGTATTTCAAGCCAGCTTCCTAATAGGAGTCCTTGGCCTCAAATATGGCATGTGTTCTGTCCAGACGGCCCTGAGCTTATGATTGTACTCATTACATCATCATGGTATAATGAGCACAGGATTTGCTCTCCTTTGATAACAAGGTCATACAGTCCAACCAAATGCAGTCACCAAACATTTAGTTAGGGAGAAGTACACCCTTATAATAATGTCATTTTCAAAAAAAGAATATCCACTAGATGCCAAAATTTCATTAATTGCCTTGTTTCTGTTTCACAAGTCCTTCCTTGACTACCTAACCTAACTTAGGAAGGGAATATTCTACTAAATATGAGACCATTCCTTTTAGACACATGGAGAAATATGTGCTACAAAGTTAGTTGGGAACGAACAGCTTACAAAACTATGCACAATGCAACTTTATAAAATCCCCTAAGTTTAAAAAAGCACTAAAGGCTATACACACAGAACTAGACTGGATTTCTCTCAGCTCTGCTGGACCTCAGAGTCACTGTTCTGTAGCCCAGTCTGTAGACTACAAAATCTCACAAAGGAGAGCAAGCCCTCTATCCCCTTGAAGCCATGTTGCTTAAGACAGGTATAGTCCTAAGAGGCTCATAGCTAGCTTGGGAAAACTCAGTGTCATTTGAAAGTGGTTATCCTGCCAGCCACAAAGCCTGAAAGGTCCCAGAAGGTAATAGTGTGATTCATTAACTCATCCCATCTCTTCAGCACAAACTGTAATTCTACCATATGCTACGAAGTATCATAGTTAACCTTTAGGAAGCTCCTGGCCACTTTGACATTCCTTCCATCCTTTACTATGATACCCCTCTAAGCATTGTTTTAAGTAGCCATTGAATAATGGGGGGGGGGAACCCTGAAAGATATTTATGAAAGTAGTCCAAGTAAGGTAGAATTTAGTAACCAATTGCAACTCTCTGAAGTATAGATGCACTAGGCTGAAGAATTCAGTATCATGCACAACTGAAAAAATAATTATGCTGGTATCCAGATGACTGCCAAACTTCTGCATGCCTTTAAAAGATTCTCATACAGATTGTGCACTTATTTTGTAATTTAAAGAAAGCAAAAAGTATATTATGAAACTACTCAAAATAGCATCCAGAGGTGATTTGTTTAAACTACATGTCATATGACTGTTTTTTTGTTTTGTTTTGTTTTGTTTTGTTTTGGTATTTTTGAGACAGGGTCTCCCTGTAGCTCCAGCTGTCCTGGAACTCTCTAGGTAGACCAGGCTGGCCTTGAACTCATGGAGATCCACCTGCCTCTGCCTCCTGAGTGCTGGGATTAAAGGCGTGCACCACCCCTCCCAGCTGTGATTTTTTAAATGTAATTTTTATCTTAACTTTAGGAACTTAGGTGCTCTTAGTACTGAATTCAGTATTACTTGGAATAAAGTTTGCTGTTGGTTTGATAATCAGTCTTGCATTTATCTTTTTTAAAATTATTTAATAACCACTTAATTAGAAGAAGCATTTCATTACAACATCATTGACACATTCAATAACAATTTCCAGAGCTAAGATGCATCCCTTTCAAAACTGGCTGTAAATTTTTAGGTTTACATTTGAATTAATACAGGGCCTGCAGGACCGGTGGCAGGCCTCCCTCTTACCCACAGGACTCTCTCCAAGGTAAGTCCATTGTGCCCAATAAAAAGAATCTCCATTTCATTATTAAAATACACAGTTTTATACAGAAAAAATCATTTTTAACACAATTAACACCAAGATGTTTGCACATGCATTTCTAATCTCTATATATCTGATTATTACTAGTCACAGTTGGTTACTTTCTGAGCTCCTTGGCATCTGAGCATGGATATAAAGTCATTAGGGAAGGTTATACAAGGAACCTAGGGGATAAAGGCAAAGAAAGAGTTCAAGAGCAGTGGGACCACAGGAGAAGGATATTATTAAGGGAGAAATGGAAAAAAACAGGGGCGTTTATCTTTTTTTTTTTTGTCTTTTTGAGACATGGTCTCCCTGTAGCTCCAGCTGTCCTGGAACTCACTATGTAGACCAGGCTGGCCTCGAACTCACAAAGATCCGCCTGCCTGTGCCTCCCAAGTGCTGGGATTAAAGGTGTGCGCCACCATGCCCTGTGCATTTATCTTTTAAAAGAAACATTTTGGAAATCTCATTGCTTTGTCAAATTATAATTCCCCCAAATAGGAGGAAATGGAACTAAACAATGATTAGAAAATAAGATTATTTTTAAACACTTGAAGGACATACATCATGATTGATCATTTACTCCATTAATTACCATTCTGTGTAGTTTTTATATTTTGAATTTTAAAGAAGTGTAACATAAGGTTAAAATGAAAAATTCTTATACCCTAGAGATCTTTTTAGTCACTAACTATAACAATCCAAGGTAAATGTATGTTTAAATGTTCAGGTGAAAACCATTTATACTGAGCTTTGGAAAGACAATGTAGTGAAAACTGACAGCAGAGCAAGATTACTATATCACCCATATTTTAGGAGACCCAGATTGAATCCAGAGCCACCTTCTGTTTCTTTACTATGTAATGTAAGCACATTTCCTCAGAGTCAGTATTCATTTCCTCTCTTGGTATATGCAAAATAACTATTTCTACCAGATATTATAAGCACTGTATCTTGGCAAGTTTACCTTCATTAACATAAACATATTGTAAATTTATTCCTAAATTGTCAACTCTAAAAATAGCCTCATCTTAGTGGTAGTCTCATCTCACCTTGAATGCAGCTTGTAGAAAGGATAGTATGGTGACAACATGGAAAATATTTTTAGCATGATTCCATCATTTGAGTAATAATTATGTAAGCAAATCATTAAACAGGTAGTAAAACTTACAGGAAACAAAACATCTAGGAGATATATTTCTAATCAATTCAAGTGGATTGGTGCTGGAAACATTCCCTGTAAGTGTCCTTCACCTGAATCCCAGCTTCAATATGTCATGGGGGCCTGGAGGCCAGTTTTCTAATATAAGTCTTGAATCTGTGATGGTGGAGGTGGTTGTAGTGTCCCCAGGAGACCCTCAGTGCTCATCTACCTTGTGAGTGAAGAATTACAGCCACCTTCCCAACTATGCAGAGCAATGATGGAGTTTGCTCCTCTGAGTGGGCACTGCCTAGCGAGTGTCACTATTTCGATTAATGGACTATGGCATCAACTGGGTCACAAGTCTCAGAAGCAGGATGACTATCTAAAAGGCAGTGTGGTTATTTCTATCTTTGTTCTCTTTTCTAACAGGTTTAAGACCCAGGCCTGTGATTCTCTGTGCAAATTGATAATTGTTCCCAAATCCAAGGAAAGCATTTTTTTCTAGAACCGGGGCCAGGTAGTAAATGTCATTGTCGGGAGATGGCTTAGGGAGTAAGACCACTTGTAGTTTAAGCATTAGAACCTGAATTTGAAATCCCACATACCACATTTGAAAAAAAAAAAATGCAGGCCTAGCTAAAATGCCTGTCATGCCAGCATTGAGGAGCCGAGACAGGCAGATTTGTGGGAGTGGGAGTGTACTGGCTGGCCAGTTAGGCAAAACAGGGAGCTTTGGGTTCATTGAGAGACCCCCATCTCAATAGAGTGAAAGTGGAGAGCAACAGAGCAAGACACCTGACATCCTCCTCCACACTCACATTTAGGAGTATATACATAACTCAACCTATACACACACACATACTTCAACATACTTATATCCTTCAACATACTTGTACGAAAACCTTTGCTTTGGGGATTTCTGACACTGATCTGTGCTTAGCGCATAAGCATAGCACTGCTATTATGACCACAAGCTCTAAATCAACCTTTCCAGCCTCCTCACTTGCTGTTCTGTGACTGTGATGGCTCATATTTCTGGGTGTCTCCTTTTTCTAAGCTCATCCACTTCACCACGACAGGGGGTCCATTTACAAGTGTAGGAAGCTGGAGAAGAATGCTATGCTGCTGTCAGGTCCCACCTGTGAGACCGTAGTGGCATGGACCCAAAGCTCTGCATATGAAGTTGGCACTGTCCTTTCAGCCCAGGGACATGCCCTCCCTAGAGGACTCTACTGTGGCAATGCATCCCCTTCCCTCTAAATTCCTGTTATTGGTTGGAGCTCATTGGTAATTCTGGTACAGGAAACGGAAGGAAGCATCTACTTACTGGGAGGGCAAGGGGCGTTTGATCCGGGTAGCAGCCACCAGCACTGCATCCTGCTCAGGCCTCTCCTCCGTTTCCCCGTAGCCGCTGTCTTCTGTGTCTACGCTGTCGCTCTTCCACTTTGGATCCTCCTGTTCTATCACTTTCCAGCCTTTTGTCAGCTCTGACACCAAGTTGGTGCATTTTCTTCTCCGCGTTGGGGAGTCATGGCTGAGGAGGATTCTGTCAATGCCATTCTCTGGCTGAACAGGTTCAGACAAGCCCCCATCATTCTCATACCTGTGGCTCAGGGAGTTCACATCTCCTCCTCTCTCATAAGCCTTGCTGACAACTGTTCTGGTCACTTCTTTCCTTTTGATACAGGAGACCTCGGTGGCTTCTTCTGAGCTTTGTCCATTTCCATGTCCCTTTAGCTTTGGAGATGGAGGTTTGGGCACATGCTGGTAGGAAGTGGAGTGTATCACTGGTTTAGGAGTGTGGGCTGGGTCCTGGGTTGCTCCCGGCAGCCAGCCTGCGGGCTCCTGGGCCTGCCTGGTGCTGTTCTCATTTGCCCACTGCTGCCAACCTCGGGCCAAGTTGATGACCAGGGTTGCTGTGCGTATCTTCCGGAGGGCACTCTTGGCTGGCCCTGCCTCCCTTTCTTTTTCTCCAGGAGCCATGCTACCTGTCTCTTCTCTGCTGACAGGCCACTTGCTAAAGGAAGTGTGGTGCAGCAAAGTGCATGGGATTTAAATAGAAGCAGGGTGTGAGTGCGGAAGAGAGCCTGATGACGCTGGAAACTATGCAAGGCATTTCGTGCCAAGATGTGGTGCCTTTACCCTGACGCTGTTCTGTTTTTAAACCCTAACAGGTCCAGTTTCATCACCGCAAAGGGACATCTCTGTTGGCAAAGGACATTGATACATTTGCTCTTTTCTTCTCCAGGTGCCAGAGTGGAAAGTACTAGATTGAGTCATGTGCTCGGCTTTATGTTTTCCTTGACCTTAAAATATGATCCTTCCATTTATAGGAGACTACAGTATGTGCCCAAGTCGTCCGAGGAGCATTACAGGCCTGTTATTTAAACTCCCACAGCCTCAACGCAGCTGTTACATATTCTCATTTCATAGCTGGATTAAATGATATTTAACTTCCTACAGGTAACATACGAGATTCAAACCCAGAGAGCTTCAAAGCTTGAGCCTTTTTCCATTCCAAACCTTTCTCGTTTGTTCTCAACTCCACTAGAAACAGACCTTAAAAAACTGGCTAACCAGAGCTGCGTTTTCCAGGTGAAAAAATTGAAGACCAGAGGGAAATAAGATCTAAATGGTAAAAGGCTAATTATTATTCTTTATCCCCTGTATGGAGAAATCATATTAATATATTAATACACATTAATATTTGATGCATGTTGGTATATATTAATATAAAGACTGTTTTAATCACATAAAATTAAAATATCTGTTCGCATTAAAATTTAGACGTTATTGCTGGAATATTTTCACATATTTTGTTTAATCCATGTAAAGACAAATGAGTGTAATTTGATGTATATCACCCAACCCCCATGTTTAAAAACATTGGCTGGCCTCGACATTCTATAGGCACAGACGTCTGTTTCAAGCTTAAAGAAAAAATTAATATTTTGGGGGCTGGAGAGATGGCTCAGCAGTTAAGAACACTGACCTTGCAGAAGACCCAGGTTCGAATTCCAGCACCAACATGGCAGCTAACAACTGTCTATAACTCCAGTTCCAGGGGATCCGTCAGCCTCTTCTGTCCTCCGTGGGCATTGTGCGACACGGGTGCACCTACCTACATGCAGGCAATACAAGCATACACACAAAATAAAAATAATAAATAAAATATATTTTTGAAAGGACTGGAAAGATAACTCATGAGGACAGTGAAATAGCAATATGTTCACTATGTTAAACCAGAAAAAAAAAAAAAGGTGCAGGGGCTCAGCACTGAATAATTTCTTAAAGTAAGATAGACTTAATTTTTTCATTTACCAGTTCTTTAGGCTTTACATAGTATCCTTTCCTCTTGATATTCAGGTAACTGACTGAGAACTGCTGTCTATGAGGATTATGTAAAGGATAAAAGTTAATTACTTCTGATAGACACATTTATTTTGAAAAAAAAAGTCAATTTTTTATATCCTAGGATTCAAACAATTTAGAAAATGATTTAAAACTCTGGAAACCTGTCAGAGGTGTCCTCAGAGTTCATCAACATATGATAACATCAACAGCACAGAGACAGAATTCCTCTTGATTAAGGGGACATTGGATCACAAGGGGCAGTGAAACTGTTACAAACAAAGATTTAAGTCTGAGCCTAACTTTCTGGCCTTCATTCCTGGACTTTGGGCACACTGCACTTCTTGTCAGGTTCCCTTTATCCCACTGGAAGGTCTTGGATAGAATGTGGTTCCTTTGAGAATCATATGCTTAGCCCAAGGTCAGGCTGATTACAGCTACAAGGGATCATTCTGCTTCCCCGCTGACACCTGCCCAGGTTCCATCCTTATAGACAAAGAAATTTAGACAGCAGGGCAGTAATAGTCTTTCACTATTAGCACTGTACCCAGTGGCCTGAGGTTTGTGGCTCTCAGCAGATGGTCTTGGAAAAAAAAAAATAGCTCTCCCAAAAACCTGTTCATTCCTTTGAGATTTGGCCTCCATGGAAAGTACAGTCCTTCATTCATACTTCTGCAGAAGAGCTTGAACTCCTTTCCTCTTCATGTCCACTGTGGGCATCCTACCCTTAAGCCCTGTCCTCGTGCTAGCCATCTTTTGATTACTATAAAATGTTGGGTGTTAGGTTCTCATTTTCAGTCTAGGTTCAGTGTGTTGGGAATTCCATATTCTTCTACTTAAAACTGTCATTTAAAGAAATAAAAAGAAAATTTCCACAACAAAAATTTAATAAGTACTGATTTATAATGAAAGTATCATGACCTAACTTCTTTGCTCCTTGAGTCTCATCACAGTGGTAGAACTCTTCCAGTATTCCACCTTCTTTTGCACACATGCAACAGTTGAGTGTAACTAGAAAATACATGAAAAAATGTTAGCAGCCTCAGAAGCTGTTTGGCTACCTACTGCACTCCCTTGATCTCTCCATTCTTCCACTAGCTTGGATGACTGTTTTGTTTTCCCAGCTTGCATTATGCTTTCCCCCGGTCTCAGTTCCAGCTATTAAGCTTGCTGTCCTTTGCCTTTAGACCCAAGCACATCCCTGGATATACTACTCTTATGCCATCCACTTTGATGCACTTGTGTCCGTATGGCACATCTTTGCTGCTGCAATGTTCTGATGAACAGTGCTCCGAGGATAAGCTGCCTTTCCAGTTTTGCATCCTCTTCTCTGTGAAGAAACTTGAGTCTTTTCCATTTTTCATCTCAGTTTCTGCCTCTTCACTTTGGTCACACCATACAAACAAACTAGTATTTGTTTTCTCTTACAAATGTACTCTCAGGGCTGGAGTTGCAGGGGATCCAATTCCCTCTTCTGACCTCCGCAGGCATTTCATTACATGGGTACAGTTACTCATGCAGGCAATACAATCATACATATAAAATCAAAATAAGTTTAAAAATTTAAATGCACTCTCTTCACTCCATGTCCACCCCAGTGTTCTCTCTGCCCACCTGAGAGAAAGAATTAGAGGAATTATGTAGACTGCCTGTATCCACTTTCCCCCCATTTTCTTCCAAAGCCAATTCAAATCGGTACTAGCTTTACTACTCACTAAAACTTCTCTGTCCTGTCACCTGTGATTTCCACAGTGCTGATGCTGAGGATCAGGTTTCTGATCCTCAATTTACTTGTCCTATCAGCAGCACCTCACATATTAAAGCACTCATTCCTCCTTCAAATTCTCTGTTTACTCGGATCCTCCCTCACTGTCACTTTCATAATACTGGACTGAACGGAGCGCAGTCTACCCTCAGTTCCCTGGGATCTCAGTCTTCAAATGCTGTCTTTATGTTTTTACATTTATTATTTTTTATTTTATGTGTATGAGTATATTGCTTGCATGTAAGTAGGTGCACCCATGTCATGCAATTCCCACAGAGACGAGAAAGGGGTGTCGAATCCCCTGCAGCTGATGTTACAAATGGTTCTTAGCTGTCATGTGGGTGCTGGGAATTGAACCCAGGTCCTCTGCAAGAGCAGCCAGTGCTCTTAACTTCTGGGCTATCTCTCCAACCCCTCAAATGCTATCTTTATGATAATAATCCTCAAACAAGCATCTTGAGGGTGAGACTTCTCGTAAACATCTAGCTTGTATAGTCAACAATTTGCTAGAAATCTCTACTGGGCAACTGCCTAATGGCTTACTCAACCTTAGTTTGTATTAAATGGAACTCTCAATTTTCTTTCTAATTTAGCTCTTCACAGTATTCTCTCTCTTCCAGCTCTAAGTCAACTTTATTCTATGAAAAATTTGAAGTAATACTTTATTTCTATCTCACAAATCTCAAAGCTAGTCCTCCAGCACATACTTTAGAATTTGGCCACTTCTTGTCATCTTTACCCCCATGAGTGACCTCTGTTTCCCATAGCATACGCATACCACCATCCACATGTACACCACCATCAACTCTAGTCCCTCTGTTTCCACTCATCTCCACAGAAGATCCTCCTCCCAATAGCCAGGTTCTTTGTAGCATATCAGGCCATATCACTTTGCTCAAAGCTTTTCAATGGCTTCATCTTACCTAGAATAAAAGATAAATTCCTCACAATAGTCTGTCAAGTTCTCCATCTCCTCATTAGTTTCCTGGCTCTCTCTCCTGTCACTCTCCTTAGTATTGTCTCATTCACAGTGCCTTCAACTTGGCACCTGCCTTGAGCCTCATGCATTAGCTCCCTGTGTCTTAGTATCCATAAACCCCGCCAAGCGTGTGCTCTGAATTTACATATTCAAGGACTCATTAGAATTTTTTTTCCAAACAGATGACTTCTCTTCAGGAGGAATACTTTTCTTCATACTCGAAGAAACTGCCTGGGTAAAAAAACAAACAAACAAACAAACAAAAAACTTTTCTTTGTCTCACTGTAGACTGAGAGAGCAAGTACAGTGCAGTTTGAAGCTGGAGAAGTAAATAGGTATAACCAGACTTTTGAAGAACGTTGGCTTGGTAAGAAATGTATCCTGTAATTTAAAGCTTTATCCTGCAGAATAGCATGGTCAGAACTGCATTTTAACAGATTCACATTTTTAGTTGTGTGGAGGATGATTTGAGGGTAGTGTGTGGGTAAGTAGAGAGTAGCATAGTACTTAGGAAATGATAGGAACAGAGTAGACAAGACCTGATTATAACCTACATGGCAGTTAGTGTGGAATAGGGCCATGAGCACTTCAGGTGAACTCAAATGATGTGAGGTATAGGAGCTGGTCACAATTAGCACTTAGATATGAAGGAAGTAGAAGCTTTTGCTCTATACATGGACATCCTGGCTAGAGTTTCTAGGTGGATAAGAGTTGTAGCCACTGAGTATGTAAATATACAGAAGATGGGTACAAGCTTGGTAATTGGACAAAATATTAAACTGTGGTGATATATTGACTTTGAATTACCTGTAGGAAATCCAAGAGAAGTTAATCAGTAGTCAGGGAAAGTTAGCCAGAACTAAAAGTCTGCCATGCCAAGCCTCAGAGCCAAGGAGAGTTCTGAAGAA